CTTCTTCCAAGAAACTACAATGTAAACGAATTCTGCCAACTTCTAAACTGTTTACTTCGCTTTTAAGTCATATTGTTTACGTACTATCTATTTATGTACTATCTTTTTGTCCGACAGTGTAAATTATTGAACCAGACTGGTTGACAGAATGATTATTCCAGAGTCGATATCTGGCGTTCAAGTTTAGGTATCGATTTTTTATCGAGGTATTTGATCAAGGCAGGGCACTCATGGAAGTTGGCCGTGTGAGGACCATTACAGTTGAAGCACTTGAAAAGAAGCAATCTTTAGCAATCTTTAGAAAAATGTAGCCCTGTGCATTTGACGCATGCCGGGGGCAGATTACAATTGGAAGAAGAATGGTCAAAAGCTTGACATCTGTAGCACTGTGTATGCTTGGTCCTAGACATGTATTTATTACAGTACACTCTGATCCTGAATAGTAATTTAATTTTATAGATATCCTGTATTGAGATGTCCATTGGGAAGTTGACTCTGTAGGCATTGGTATCTTTGATGAGGTAACAGGCCGTAGTGGTTATGTCTTGCGAGGAAATTTGCTGAATTATTTCCTCGGGCATTTCCTTGGCAGTCCTTTGAGGATCATCGGCAATACTCTTTCGTTCTTGATTGTGAATGTGTAAAACGGAATATTTTTTGTTTGGAGTCCCGATTTTAATTCTTTAAAATTTTTGGTAGATCAGAGTTGAATGTGAACATTATTTCTATTGTATTTTAATGAATAATTGTTGTCATACGAGACAGTTAATTCTTTTTTGAATTTAGCGACTGAATATTCAAAATTGTAAATATAGATGGGAGGTGGTTTTTGTGTTGTGGCCTCCGGGTTGGAAACAAGTTCTTGTCATTTATACTACCAACAGTAGGTATGTTGGCCGCCGGCTTGTTATTGAAAGAGCTACCGTTATTGGGGTCTCTGTTTGAATTGTCGAACGCGGTGAAAAATGCGAAACGGTAATGAACAGGAATGTTGGAAAAAGTGGGGAAGTTGATATTGAAGTCGCTCGAAATTTGGGCTGGACTGTTACGTGTTGGTTTGAATTTCGAACTGGATTCGGTTATGATATATGGTTTTTTAGAATTTTTGGGTTTGTTGCTAACAGGAGATTTTTAAGAACTACTCTTGACTGATTTAATTGTTATTAACTCCGAATTCATGGGTACCTGAGAACTAGGAGATTTGTGAACTAAAGCTTGGGTTGAATTTTTTGAGTACGACAACTCATGAGGAGAGGGTTCTAGTTTTGACATGCTGAGTTCGTTGGTGTGAAGATTAGTGATATCATCACCCTGAACTGGGTCAGTGATAGCATCGAGAGATGGATTCACCGTTTCCTGCGAAGAGTTGGGGTCCTCGGAGCTGACGTTCATAAACTCGTGGACACCCAGTTCGGTGCTGTACCGGAATTCCTGCTGTGTGTACGAAAGAGAGAGAGAGAGAGAGAGAGAGAGAGAGAGAGAGAGAGAGAGAGAGAGAGAGAGAAAGAGAGCAAGCATGGTTGCGTTTGAAAGGCGACGAATAGCATAGAGACAATCCAAGCAAGGCCTTAACATGGATCACTAGGGAGAATTTACTATAGATTGCACAGTTCGACCCACTGTGGACAAAATCGTGAAATTGTTGTTGGATTTTGATATTGTTGTTCGGTGATATCATCGATCGATAAGTAAACTATATAAATATAAACATTAATTCTCGGAAAAATTGATAGAGGATTAATTACAATTAGTTACCACACGATCTGGTTACTAGAAAATCAGCAGATTTGTTCAACATACATTGTTATTTCTTAACAAGTGTTAAATAATGTTTGTTATATCTTATAGTTATAGTTTTCAAATAATACATTCCAATAATAGGCGGGCCGGGTTTGGGCGAGGCTGCTGAGCCATTTAGTGAAACTGGGCTTCTTGCTGTTGTTGGTTGGGCTACCTTGGTTGGTCAGTGAGTCACTGACCATTGGTCAGTGTTTTTCGATAATAACTCGTAAACAAAGTCGCGGATTGTATTTTTGCTAAGGAAAAAGTTACTTCGAATGATCTCAGAAACCCCTCATTTACCGGTAGTTTTGTTTTGGTACTTCCTGTATAATCGTTTGCTAATTGTATGACGAAACTTGATTATTTGATAATATTCAGTAGATTGCAGAACATTAAATGGTACGATTTAATGAAAACGGTTTTAATTGTTCCAGGAAAATGCGGAAATCAATTGTGATCCTGAGCGGCCTTAAGCGGCCGTGTTTCAAGCGTATGGAAAATGTATAATTCAGCGTATCTGCCGGCGTATTCGATGGGCGGTGTTTAATTAATGCATTAAACGTCAGACTGTTGACTGAGTGTCGTCCATAGTTGTTGAAACGACAAGATCTATTACGTATTATTTGCGCAATCCGTTTATATCATTAAATCACTCACGCTATGTTGCACTGTTAACGAGATTTACTACTCGTAGGTAACTTGATCGATACTGAGATACGATTAATAGCTGGATGAATGCGATCACTTGATAAATGCATAAGAAAGATTTTGCGATGGAAAGACTGCAGATATGGTCGTATGTTATGTACTGTGCAGTCACAAAAAGTCTACCGGGCAAACATTACAATTCTGAACTACAATGGCGACACGACACGGCGCAGAGCTGCAGATACAATACAATATAATAGGTGCCACCCTGTAGGTGCGCCACGCCGCTGTGCGGGACTCCCACGCGTGAGTTGTCTAGTTCCACTCCTTGCGTAGCGACTTCTCCAGAATACACTGTGCAGGATACAAATGTTGTATAAGCCGCCGTTAAAGTGTTAAAGTAAAGCTACTTCCCTTCGGTAATTATTCTGAAAAGAGGTCACCTCACCGACATCAATGATCACAAAATACGTTGACAGCAGAGATTCTCAAATGTTGTGATTTCCAGAAACCCTCTGATGCGATATTCATGTTAAAAAGCATTTTCAAAATTACAAAATATAAAATAAAAAACAATATAAAATATTACTAAAATACGAGTCGGGTTCAGAAATTCTGTTAGGAACTCGATTTACGATTCAAAGAATAATTTTTCAGATTTATCTCAAAGTTTTAAGTTTGAAAGTGTTTTTATATGTGTCCTGTAATCAAATGCAGAATTGAAGATAACAATTCTTTTATAGTATCCAGACGTGAATCGTAAATCGGGTCCCGCAATTGCGGGTAACCGAACATATTTATGTGTAATTTTAGGTCTCCTAGAAGTTCTGCTTCTACCCGTGAAACCTAACCTGAAATATAATCAAAATTCTTTTGAAATCACTGCAAAACCCAACACGTCTATGTGATTTACGTCTGTGCTATTTAGTTACTACTACAATAAAATTTTGGTTGGAATTTGGGTTAGATGTATCGATCGAAGTCTACACAGGACACTGCCCTGTCCTGACTTAACAACGAGTTCTGGCAAGTTCAGTTTAGTTAAATGTACCAAAATGTATTCAAAGTTTTACACACCTGTACACCTCTTTGTTTGTATGTATAATCTTTTATGCTGTCACTATGCTTGCACCTGTACGTAATCTTGTCACATATAATTTTAGATACATATTATTAATGATTATATTGATGCGTAACACTAATGATACTACTTATACGTAACAATCTCACTTATTCCACATTTAGTTATTAACTGACAAACTGAGACCTGTAGGATGGCAAGCTCGCTGATGCACAGGAATATAATATCTCTATAAGATTTATGCTATACATGGAGTCCCAAAAGTGTCTCGTAATGTGGAAATGGGGAGTAGGTGATGTCATTTGAAGTAACATTTTCCTTAGCGAAAATGCAATCTGCGGCTTTATTTACGAGTTATTAACGATAAACACTGATAAATGAGAGACGAGCGCGCGAACCACAACGTGGTCGATCGCTCGAGCGTAACGTGCTCCAATCGCGGAGCGTGAGAAAAGAAGGGGGGCCCCATGCCACGTTCGAATCAATGAATAAGTCACGGATCGTGAACTTTCTGAATTTTTTTACCACGTGACAGTAATAATGTTAAGAAAAACGCTATTCATCCTTATTTCAGAATCTCAGAAGAGTATTTTTTGAACCCGAAATAATAAATAATTTAACTGTAATAGCCGTTTTAATTTCCAGGTATGCACGGTACGTCATGTGTATCATATGAAATTTTTACGCGATATATACAAGGTGTCCCAAAAATGTCTCGCATTACGGAAATGTGGGGTAGCTGAGATCATTCTAAGTAACTTTTTCCTTTGCGAAAATGCAATCTGCGGCTTTGTTTACGAGTTATTAATGAAAAACACCGACCAATGAGACGCAATGGCGCGAAACACAACGTGGTCGATCGATCGAATGCCATGTGTCGTTGGTGATAGTGTGAAGCAAGGCGACATTCCGATGTCTCCGACGCCTAATTTAATCGCACCGGATATGCTCTTATAAACACTTACATGTATAAAAACGCGCGGACCTCCAAATAAAGCAGTCATTGATCAGTTCGATTCTAACCACACCTTGCCACACCAAGCCATACCTTGTTCGTCTCATTAAAAACCTTCATTATTCGCTCCGTGTTCTAAGCGTTACTTTGGTATTTTCTACGGAAATACTTAATTACTTTCATTCAGACAAGATCTTTTGTGAACCTTAAGTAATAATTCTAAGTTTCGCGATTATATTTGAACTTAACCTTCTTCATACGAATCGGTGAATTCGCCCGTACGATAGAAGAGTATAAAGGAGCATACGTCATTTCTTCAAGACCTGATATGGTCCCGTGACATATAATTGGCGATCCTGCCAGGATCCAATCAATTCAAGAGGAGGAAACAGCCTACTGTGCGATCTACGGAACACCTACCGCTGGGACTACGTGTGCCACACTCACTCTGGACGATTGAAACGAATCATTCAAAGGTAAGGAGTATCCTCAGTATCCTAAGTATCCTCAGACGACGAACTATACCACACCACAATGAGCAACCCAAGAGCAAGCTCACCCACACCAAGCTTGACGAATACCCTAGAATCCATAATGGTTCAATTAAAACTTATCCAAGATACGCAAACTCAAATGCAGGGAACTCTACGGACACTGCAGGAGAGAATCGAAACTACTGATCGAACATTCGAAGTGGAAACGAGCGTATTTCGACGAGCATTCGCCTCGCTAGGAATCAACGCACTTTCTGATGGAGCAGGCATCACTGAAGACGATGACGAAGAATATCGCGAGGTACGACCATCCGTACCGTTACCAAGGAACGGACCAGCAGCCCAGCAAGAACAAAGCACGTTGAGCAGAGCCAACGAAATACTTCGCACCATCAAGATCCTACGAGGTAAGGGCGACATGGGAGTGGCAGAATTTATCAAACAGGTAAAGTTTGTCCGTACCACCTGTAGCGAACCAGTCATCCTGCTAAAACTCATTATGACGGAAAAAGTCACCAAAAATGCAGGACGATGTATTCGATACCACAATATCGAAACATACGAACAACTGTACCAAGCTTTAAGAACACAGGTGTCTACACCAGTTACCACCAACGGCTGCCGCAACAAACTGCTTTCCACCAGACAAGGATTCGGAGAATCAGTAACGCAGTACAGTCTAAGATTCCGACAAGCACTGAGCGAACTTCTCTATGCAGTTCAAGCGAAGCATTCTAACGCCACCGCGCGACGCATTGCCATCGCAGAAGAAGAAGAAGAAGCAATCCGCACGTACACTATGAATCTTCAAGAAAAGATCGGAACTATGGTCATAGCGGCCAACCCAAAAACGTTAACCGAAGCACAATCAAAAGCAACCGACATCGAACTTTGGACTCGAGACAGAAACTCGCGTAACAACTCTACCACAAAACCAGCTGTCATTAACCGCCCACCTCAACCAACTAGTCATATCCCACGACCAAACCTTGCCCTTAACAAACAATCGGGAAGATTAGATCAACCACGTACGCTCACCTGCGACTTTTGCAAACGAAACGGACATACCAAAACAACTGTTTTCAGTACAAAAAGTTTCAACAGCGACAGAACGGAAAACTCCCACCGCGCGTGAATCACCTAAACGAAGTAACACAGACCGACACAGTGACAGAAACAAAACAGTACGACGAGATACAGCAAGAATACACTACATACCAGGGAAATTACGACACATACAATGCAAACGAGACACTACAGGAAGAATGCGACGATTTTTACTCGACACTGGAGCAGGAGTAAATCTCATAATAGAACGCGACGCCCCGACAAAACTAAAACTTAAAGAAACCAGATATATTCAACTAGGACGAGATAAACATCCTATCCATTACATGACACACGTTCTCTTCCTACAAATCAAACACCCTTTCCTAATAATACCGAACGACTTCCCACTAATAGAAGACGGAATATTCGGACTGCCATTCCTCGAAAAATATCAGTTCAAAATTACTAACGAATCTCTAACATTAAACGGTACTACCATAAAATTACAGGAAACACCCGAGGAAATAGAGGTACAGCCAGGCAAACATGTACATCACATAAAAATTGTTGACGATCATCCTTGCCGCGTATTGTTCATCAACACTGGTAAGCAACCTTTGATCACGTCTACTATTGAATCAAAAGTTTCAAACTCTAATCGAATACCTCAACTTATCGACAAATTACGGCTTAATCATGTCGATAAAAATTACCGCGACACAATCGAAAAAATTATAGCAACGTATAACAAAGTTTTTACCTTAGACTCAGATCCCTTACCCTGTGCCTCCCTTACCCAACATGAGATCACTCTAAAAAATCCTCGGCCCATTAACATCAAGTCCTACAGACCATCAGAATGCCATAAAACAGAAATCAACCGACAGATTCAAGAAATGTTAAACAAAAATATCATAGAACCGTCAGACTCCCCTTTTAACTCTCCGATATGGGTAGTTCCCAAAAAACTAGACGCATCAGGCAAAAAGAAATGGAGAATCGACTTTCGCAAACTAAACGAACAAACGGAACAAGACGCGTATCCTCTACCCAACGCCGACGAAATAATTCAGCAACTTGGTAATGCAAAATTCTTTTCTGCACTCGATCTATCCGCTGGATTCCACTAAATTCCTATGAACCCCGACTCGAAAAAGTTTATCGCCTTTTCTACATCCGAAGGACATTTCCATTACAATCGTATACCATTCGGTCTCAAAAATGCACCCGCAACCTTCCAATGAATGATGGACACTGCTTTACGTGGACTAATAGACAAACACTGCTTTGTATATATGGACGACATTATTTTCGGACAGACGATTGAAGAACACAATAAGAATCTAGCCATCGTATTTCAAAGACTGCAAGACCTAGGACTAAAATTACAGATCGACAAATGCGAATTTCTGAAACCGGAACTCGAATATTTAGGACACATAGTAACCGCAGATGGAGTAAAGTCAAATCCCAATAAAATCAAAGCCATCAAAGATTTCCCTCAACCCACAACACCTACCCAAGTAAAAGCTTTCCTCGGACTAACCGGATACTACAGAAAATTTATTAGAAACTTTGCGAAAATCTCCAAGCCCCTCACGATCCTTACGAAAAAGAACGAACCATTTAGATGGACAATTGATCAGGAAACGGCATACAGAGACCTGAAACAAAAATTGTGCTCAGCACCAATCCTCAAATATCCCGACTTTTCCAAACCATTCACCTTAACCACAGACGTCAGTAACGAAGGCATAGGAGCCGTCTTGTCCCAAGACAACCTACCTTATAATTTCATATCCCGAACACTCAATCCTGCCGAACGAAACTACTCAACGACGGAAAAAGAACTCCTAGCGATTGTATGGGCAACAAAACGTTTACGACAATATTTATTAGGGAGAAAGTTTATTATCCAAACAAACCATCAGGCTTTAGTCTAGCTAAAAAATGTAAAGGACCCCTCTTCTGGACTCATGAGATGGAGATTGAGATTCGAAGACTATGACTTTGAAATAGAATATAAAAAAGGTAACTATTAAGTAATTATTAAATCCAACAATCCCTGTAAAATTAAATGTAAAGGTCAAAAACCCGGATAATTCCCCAGAAACCATTAACGACATGTTACCCGACATCGAAGAAATAGTCTCTCCCTCAAATTCGGAAACCGACACCCTATACGATCTCTATAACGATTGGAAACTTGATCCTACACCGTCCCCTTTATGCTTAAAACTCGGAATAGAAACAGGATTCTCTAACTATGAATTAGCTTCACTTCAGTTAATGATTAGATTTCTCTTCCATCACCTGAAACAACCCGTCACCCTAGCTACAAACCCTATTAAAGAATATACGCGAGAAGAAAAACGAAAGATCATCGAAGAAACGCATAACAATCTGAAACATTTGGGAGAAAACAAAACCATTGATACAATTAAACGAGAACATATTTGGCCCAACCTGGAAACCGATGTTCAAAATTACATAAAACATTGCGATACCTGTCAACGTAACAAGTTCACGCGTATTATATAGACCTAGGGAAGAAGCTATTATAACTGAATCCCAACGACAAGATAGCAATGGACATAATCGGACCCCTCCCACTAACGAATAAAGGAAACTAATTTATCATCTCAATCCAATACTATCTTACCAAATACCTAATGCTAATCCCTTTACAAAACCAGAGAACAGAAACACACCGAAACACATCCTCACTGACCAAGGGCAAAACTTTGTTAGCAAACTCATGGAACAATTCGAGAAAATATTCAAAATTCAACATATTAAAACAACCAGCTTCCACCCACAAAGCAATGGAGCTCTCGAAAGAACTCACGGCACGGTCAAAGATTTACTGCGGATCAGTATTGACGAAACACGAACCGATTGGGATGAACATTTCAATCTAATTTCAATGGCATTTAATACCTCTGTTCACTCAACCACAGGATACACACCCTTCGAGCTAACATTCGGCCGAAAAGCCAATCTACCCTCCTCGATCGCGTTAACACCCGCCTTATCCCATACCGAATTATTTAAACTTTGGAAGCAACGGCATAACGACTATCTTAATTACGCAAAAATCAATATCGAAGCCAATAAGATACGGTACAAACAAGACCAAGACCGAAAGATCCGAATCCAAAGTTTATATAATATCGACGACTTAGTCCTCTTACACAACAACCACAAGCGAAACAAACTATCCCCAGAATTCCTAGGCCCTTACAAAATACTCGAGGTGCGAAAACCTAATTACCTCATACAAATCTCAGACAATAAAACCCTACTATCATATGGAAACCGATTCAAACCTTATCATTTACCTTCCAGGCTAAAACCCACGGATTAGAAATCACCAACCTCAATCACTCACAAATCATAGACATGTACCATAACGAGATAAAGATTAACATGATTATTAATCCATCCGACATTAGCAGCGATCTAGACAAAGCAAGTCAACTCATGACCGAAATAAAAAACACATGCAAAGTTTGTAACAACATTAACACGGCATACCTCATAGAAAAACTGCGCAAATTAAACATAGAATACAACCGCTTGAGTAACCTTTTACACCAAGCGAGGAATTCTGAACATAATAGGTTCAGCTTCCAAAGCACTTTTCGGAACCCTCGACGAAGACGATTTAATCCTGATAAATCAAAATATTGACAAATTATTCGATGAAAACACAAAACTTTCCAAGATCATACAAAATCAAACTGCTATGTTCAGAACCATCCTCAATAGTCAAACTTTCCCACACTTTATACAGAATTCGCCCACAACACGCACAGTACCGAAAGAACACTTGGATTACTTTTATTAGCCGAAATTATAGTTACAGACATTAGAGAAAACATCGACAACTTAAGAAACAATCACTCTAGGAAAACACGGTATTATATGACAAGAAATTATTGACTCAGTACAATTTGTGGACGCTTACGAGAAAATCTTGAAAACACATTCAATTATATCACATATATCACCTAAATTGCATAACTTCCAAACATTGATCGACATCAGCCAACTCAAAATCTATATAATCAGCCGCTAAATTATCTATTCGGTTATTATACCCATATTAGAAGAGAATGAATGGACACATACTAAATTGTACACCATTCCTTACAAAAAGGGATCCACCTTCGTAGCGCCCCTGCTTAAACACGAACACTTGCTAAAATCACGAGGGCAATTCATACCAGTTGACATCACTTACCTAGACCACTATTGTAAATCCACCAGCCTTGCGAAAATCTGTAAACGTACTCAACCCACACAACATACTAATGCTATAAAATGTGCAAATCACAATGAGTGTATGCTAACCCTCTTCAAAATCCACGAACTTATTTTTTTACCGATGTACGCGCCTAACACATACATTGTCATACCGGAACACACGATCACGATTACCTCACTTTGTAACAGCGAAAAACAATTTGTGATTGACCAACCCGTCAAGATCACTAGCAACGAAGATTGTACCTTATACCTATAGTACCCAAAGTAACTCCAAATTTTACAGCTTATACCAACAGCCTAAATAACATAGAATCACAACTCATTATCATCTCACATAAACACGGAATCAAATCAGCCGGGGAAATATCCGTCTCAATTATCACGTACCTTAGTTATGGAACATTAGTTGCTACTGTTCTATTTGTACTATATAAATGTAAACTCTTCTCACTCCTAGGAAAGTGCATACCTTCGACCATTTGTGTAAAAATATGCTGCCAGGAAAATGTTCAAACCAATAGCCCTCAATAGTTCGAAAGCGTACGGTACTTCCGGTCCCGGAAGACAACACTACACAAATCTCGTGGCCTAGCGATCTACCAGCCGTGCTCTAAGCGTTACTTTAGTATTTTCTACGAAAATACTTAATTACTTTCGTTCAGACAAGATCTTTTGTGAACCTTAAGTAATAATTCTAAGTTTCGCAATTATTTGAACTTAACCTTCTTCATGCGAATCGGTGAATTCGCCGTACGATAGAAGAGTATAAAGGAGCATACGTCATTTCTTCAAGACCTGATACGATCCCGTGACAATAGCGTGAAAGATATTTAAAGTTGATAGATAAAAAATGCTCTGTATTTAATGCCAATTCTTATTTTTACTTTGTATGAGAAGCACGAAAACGTAATGTAATGTGTAATGACACAAAAAGTACAATCTTTTTTTATAAAAATAAACAATGTATAATGAGAAGAACGTAAATATTTTTATTGAAATTGTAGTATTTTATGTAAATAATATTTAATGGTCAACGTTTTTTTGCTTAATGAAAGCTCAAGAATTACCATACTTCTGAGAATATCAATTATTTATCTTATCTGTTTCAAAATAATTAGATGTTACGACTTTCTGTTTCGAAGTTTAATTAAACACCATGTCTGAAATTGGATCTGTATTTTCTGAATTGTTGGTCCGCCAGGATCGCAGTATTCATACGGCGGAAGTTCCTGTATAACAAGCTAGTTTATACAGGGTGTTCCACAATTATTTTAACAGCTGAAAATGAGGGGTAGCTGAAGTTTGAAGCTGAGTCGTTTGAAGTAACTTTTTCCTTTACGAAAATGCAGTCTGCGACTTTATTTACGAGTTATTAACGAAAAACACTGACCAATGAAAGGTGACGGCGCGAAGTTCGAAAGCCCGCAGCAGGAGGCTTTGACAGAAGGTCGGGACGGACTCGAGCCGCGTTCGAAGTATTGAACAAGTCACGAAGCGAGAACTTTCCGGATTTTTTTACTACGTAACATTAATATTTTTAAGAAAAACGCTGTTCACCTTTACTTTAGAATGTCTATAGAATATTTATTAATTTTTCGGACCCGAAATAATACGTAGTTTAACCGTGACAGCCGTTTTAATTTTCTGGTGTGCATGACACCTCATGTGTACCATTTGAAACTTGACGACCGTAATGACCGGACTTCGATGCGAGGAGGGCGACTGTCCTAGTCGGGTCCCGGAACGAGAGTGAGTCTTTGTAGGCTTGCTCTGAGCTCCTTCGGTCCTGTGGATGCTGTGAAGTTAGGGGGTGCGCTGTAGTGGGGTGCTGCGTATTCCGCAGCGCACGCGGTAGATC